GGTTATCCTGGGTTTTTTTTGTTTTTTCATATGGACTTGAGTATTTTTATTTCAAATTCTGTGAAGAATGGTGTTTGAATGTTACTGGGGTATCACAGGTTCAGGCAGGAGGCTTACAGCAGATGGGTTAGGGCTGGCTAAAAGTTCCTGAGGGATAATGAATCATTCATACATGAATAATTCTTCTCATAGATCTTTATTCTTCAAAAATTGTTCTTCCCAAAATTTCTCTCTCAAAAGTTCTGTACAATATTTCTCTCTAAAAGTTCTCTCTAATAATTTCCCTCTATACACCCTATCTTAAAATTCTCTCTCAAAAGTTCTTTAAAAGTTCTCCCAGAGTTCTTCCTAAAAGTTCTCTATAAGATTCTTGTAAAAATTCTCTAAAAGTTCCTTCTCATTCCACAAGTTTACTAGTTTTTATATCCACACATATAATAACTCCCATAAAATAGAAAAGCTTATCCCTCAGAGCCAGAAAGGCAGAGAAATTCCTTTTTTCCTCTTTTTAAATTTAAATTTGAAAAAAGGTTGTTTTACATGTCAATCCCAGTTCCCTCACCCTTCCATCCTCCCCTATCACTCCTAAAAAACCTCAGCTCATCCCCTTTCTACTCACCAGTGAGGGTGAGGCCTTCCATGGGGAGTCTTCAATGTCTGTCACAACATTTGGGGCAGGGCCTAGACCCTCCCCTATGTGTCTAGGCTGAGACAGTGTCCCTTTGTGTGGAATGGGCTCCCAAAGTCCATTCATATACTAGGGATAAATACTGCTCCATTACTAGAAGCCCCATAGACTGCCCAGCCCTCCTCATTAGCACCCACATTCAGGGGGTCTAAGTCAGTCTTATGCTGGTTTCCCAGCTATCAGACTGGGGTGCATGAGCTCCCCCTTGTTCAAGTTAGCTGATTCTGTGGGTTTCTCAGGCCTGGTCTTGAGGGCTTTACTCATCTCTCCTTCCTCTCTGTAAGTGGATTCCAGGAGTTCGGCTAGTGTGGGAGTCTGCTTCTGCTTCTATCAGCTACTAGATGAAGGCTCTAGGATGGCATATAAGGTAGTCCTCAATCCCGTTATTGTGGAAGGGCGTTAAATGTAGCCTCTCCACTATTGCTTAGATTTTTAGTTGGGTTCATCCATGTAGGTCTCTGGGCATTTCACTAGTGCCAGATTTCTCCTTAACCTATAGTGGCTCTCTCTATTACAGTATCTCTTTTCTTGTTCTCCTCTACTTTTCCCTGTCTCAATCTTCCTGGTCCCTCATGGCCACCTCTCCCCTCCTCTTCTCCCCTTCTCTGTCTCCTAACTCCCTCTCCCCTCCCCTGTGCTCCCATTTTACTCAGGAGATCTTGTCCCTTTCCCCTTCTCCAGGGGTTCCTATATGTCTCTCTTAAGGTCCTCCTTGTTTCCTAGCTTTTATGGTGGTGTGGATTTTAGGCTGGTGATCCTTTGCTCTATGTCTAAAATCCATATATGAGTGAGTACATACCGTGTTTGTCTTTCTGTGACTGGGTTATCTCGCTCAGGATGGTTTCTTCTAGTTCCATACATTTCCCTGAGAATTTCAGAATTCTTGAGAAAAGCTGACTTCTCACATCTCGGGGGGTGGGGGGACGAATGCACCTGGCAAAAAATGTGCTGTTAACTGATTAAAGGGAACATCTCAGTGCTATGTCAAAGGGGGAAAAACAAAGTATGTGTAATATGAGATATGGAGGCTGTTGCTTCCAGCCCCAATAAGCAGTGGGACATCATAAAGCTGACACCCTGGGTAGAAGTAATTTCTTTACCTGGGGCCTATTTGACAATATAAAGCACCCTGTATATTTTCTATATAGAGCCAAATTGGTAGTAACAAATATTCTGGAGTTGACACCAATAATATTAATTGCTATTTCTGTAACAAATGATAAAGTTTTGTGGCAATGGGGATTGCACTGAATCTGTAGATTGCTTTTGGCAAGATTGCTGTTTTTTACTATGTTGATCCTACCTATCCAAGAGCATCGGAGATCTTTCCATTTTCTGATAACTTCTTTAATTTACTACTCAGTGGTTAAAAGAAAAAAAAACCTCACTGTTTTCTAAATCACCTTTGAAATGATGACAAACTAGATAAATGAATAAGGAACACGTCATCAAACTTTGTCAGACCAGATAAATGTCAAACCAAGAATTACATTTTTCTAATATCTGCATTCTAGATGATTTATGCTTTTTCAAAGGCAATTTCATTGCCTAGCTTATGTTAATATAATTGAGTAGATGTATTTATAAAAAAAAAAGAGAGAAACTAGAATTGGACCATGATGGGTGAGTGTGACTGATCTACATAAACAGCCTTATGTGACTGAGTTTTATTTGTGTTATTTTTCTCCAAATCATGGAAATTAAGATAGTCTTTCTTAATCCACATGTGGAATCAGGAAATACAACAACTACTTAGACTTTCTTTGCTCTCCTATTGGCTAATAAAGTTCATCATGAAAGACCCCCACACTACACATAGCCAGAGTCCTTCTCTTAAGATGGGCCTTTCTGTTATGACAAACTTTGGGTGTGGCTTTCTGATGAAAGTACACCCACAGTAGTTTAGAGTCTAGAAATTAAAAATGCCAGTGTGAGCCTTCATTTACTTTGAATACTATGCATAAGAAACCCATTTCTAATGAGGAACATACATCATGTGTTCTGATAATCAAGAAAGACAGGGTAAGAGTGCGATAAAATAGATTCAAAAACAAACCTTATTCAAAAACTTTCCTCAAAGGAAAAGGCAACTTGGAAGTTATGTTTTCTGGGATGGAACATTGACAGAATATCTCACAGTGTATTTTAGGCTGACCTGAAATACTCTGAGAAAGTCTTAGACTCATATAAATCCTCCTGCTCCTACTTTTATGACAGGATTGCAAAGATAATTGTAAGTGACTTTGAATACATTTTGCTGCATGACTTATTTAGGACAACAGCAGTTTCTAAAGGAGGCTTTGTATGCCTTGAATTATATAACAATTTTTTCCAACAACTTACAAACTTAAGGTGAGGCTCTGTTTGTGTTCAAATCAGCATCTGATACACAAAAATCACACCTTGGTCTCTGCTTCATTTTTTCAAAAGAATAAATTCTCAATATTTCTGTTTACATCTAATTCACCACATCTGATAATATTGCCAATGAAGGAGAATGGAAATTGAACTCGTCTTCTGAATAACCCTATGGTTTCAACTGTAACGGAATCTGATTTGCATAGTGCCCACTTGGGAATTCAATACATCTCACAGTTACTACTGTGGTTCCCTAGAGGGTCAACAGATTGTCTCTAGAGGTGTAGCCCTTTATAAGCAACAAAAGATCATCTCTGCTCTGTGTCCTCTCTGTGGTTTGGTGGGGGTGATTGGAGAGGATGGGAGGGTGAGGGAACTGGGATTGACATGTAAAACAAACTTGTTTCAAATTTAAATAAAACAAGGAAAAGGAAAAAAAAAAGGATATAAAACACATGTACACCATGCCCAAAGAATGTAATATGTATCCATTGCAACACTGCAATCCTTGAATGCATAAATTTTGTCTTTTTTATGAAGCAATACCTATGGTTTTATGTTAATGTGTTTTATGTCCAAATATGTGATTGTTAGCTTTATAAATGGTAAAGAATATGAAGCCACAAAAGGAAATCAGTTAGCAAATTACTCACTAAAAATGAAAATGTGCATTTGTTGGGCAGTCACTATTTTGAAAAGTCTCTTAACTAAGGCTGGATAATTACAAACAAAACAGTCCTGCACTAGGAGAAACGCACAGAATGGAAATAGATATACAATTAGTTCTTTGTATTTGTAAATAATGATAACTTTTTACCTGAATTTAGGAGGCAAGTTTAAAGTTATCTTATAATTTTATACTATTTTCAAAAATATTTTTGTTGTAAATTAATTATTCCTTTCAGTAAGGTTAAAACTACAGATCATGGATGTTGGTGGTGTATGCAGAATCCTTCTGCACAAAGAGAAATTATCTCATTATATCTCTATCCACGCACAGACACATGTATCTCTACTACAAAAGGCATGAGCTTAACCATATATATATATATCCATATATATATCCAATAGAATTGCTCCATGTTACGCTCTATTCAGAGCTACTATTTGGAGAAACATGAAAAGAAAAAAAGAATGACAAGAAGAAAGAGAAAGAGGATGAAAGAAAGAAGGAAGGAGAAAAAGAAAGAGAAAAAGATATAAGAAAAGAAGAACAAAAAACCATGATGGATTTGATCTGCTATGGAGCTCAGACTGACACTACATTTATCAAGGCTCTGCCCAATTAGGTTCATCAGAGCCATCCAAGGTCAGGAACTTTCCCACTTCTCAACCAAGTGGAGTGAGCTTGCCAGTGGCCCGGAACTAACCCTGGTGTTTGCTTGATGCCTCACTGCTCCTGCCCTCTGTTGCTTCTTGACAGACCCTTGTTTTCAGCAACGGAGAACCTTTCAAACAGGCGTGCATTTTACTATTAGATATCCTGTGTTGCATGCCATGTTCTACAGCCACAGAGTCGGTTGAAGCTTCTAAGGGAATATAGCTGTTACTTGTCAATAGCAGGGACTCTGGTAATGTCTTCATTCTGGAAGAACAGGGTCATAACTGTGTTCATTTTCAAAGTTGAAGAGTGTGGGTCCATGGAGAGGGTCTTAAGCAGCAGCTACCAGGTTCTGAGCTCCTCTCTAGGTTTATGGTGGAAGGAATAGCTGTGGGTGTTCCATGAGATGCCTAAAGTGGCACAATGGTGGTCTCTGTATGGAAGTCATGAATTAAGGAGAAATATCATAAGATACCAGTGTTTGTGGTTTCAAGCACTTGGGGCAAAGGAAATGCTATGGGCAGCTGTACACTAATGTTACTGTGACTTAATGAGTCTGTTTTTGAAAAATTGTATTAGCAGATGGAAGCAGTAAAAGGGACAGCTGGTGACTCTGCTACATCCTTCAGTAGTTTATGTCATGGCTTGCATCACTGTGGGAGGAGTACTACTATACTGTTGACAGTAATAAGTAGCAGCATCTTCAGGCTGCAGATTGTTAATGGTGAGGGTAAAATCTGTCCCAGACCCACTGCCACTGAACCTTGAAGGAATCCCAGTTTCAAGGTTTGCTGCATTATATATGAGCAGTTTAGGAGAGTTGCCTGGTTTCTGCTGATACCAGGCTAACCATTTACTAATGCCTCCACTTGCTTTGCATGTAATGGTGACTCTGTCTCCTAGAGATGCAGACAAGGATGAAGATTGGGTCATCTGGATGTCACATTTCATGCCTGTGATTGGAAACACACAAAAAATATATACTTGTTTAGTCATGACAGAAACACATTCTCTGAAGTTCCATTCAGCACTGATTGTAAAGGGACAAAAAAATTCTTTGTCTTTTCTTACCGGGGATCCAGAGCAGCAAGAACACCAAAAGCTGAGAGGGAGCCTTCATGTCTGTGCTGTGATGTGACATTGACTGACATTGGACAGGGTTTGCCCAGAATATTAAGAAGATATGAGTGAACACATGCAAATCATCAGGGCCTGGGCAGAGCATAGCACAGAAGCAGGGCCAGTTTATCTTAGTAACTCATCATGGCCATGTGAAGGTGTCCCAAACTAGACAAGGACATTTTAGATTTTACTGAAGACTATTTGTCCTAATGTTGGAGTTCATTACAAAAAGTATTTTGATACATTTTGAGCATGGCAATGGATATAAACACATGGGTAAATTCCTTCATTTCTCTATTCACATAGAGACTGAAATGTTCAACTTGAAAGACTTCCTAGATACACTATTCAGAAACACAGATTGATTCAAAATTATGTGTATGTGTATGTCAGTGTGATTGAAAGTCGATGTGATTGAAGGTGCCTCCAGAAGCAAGAAGAATCATTTCTCTCAGAGATAATGATTCAGATAGTTGTGAGCTACCCAGTGTGGGTGGTGAGAAACAGTTTGAATCCTATACAAGAGCAGTGTGTATGTTCAGCTACAGAATCATCTCCTCAGATCCCTATCATGATGTTGTCTCTCTTATTTTAAACAATTATAGCCTTCCCTATGTAGGTAGTGATGCATAGGGCTGTACCATTGGACTTTAATCTTACCAGTGGCTATAAACGCAAAGGTAAATGGCTAAAATTCCCTTAATAGCCATCAACTGCAATAGTTCTTTTTCACTGGGATGGGCCGTATGAGAGTATTCCCTCATCCAACTGTTCATAGGCTCTGGATAGATCTCAAAATATTATGCAGAGAACATTTATATCTAAAATGTGGAGAACTATTAAATGCTTTCTTCTGGACAATACATGGACAATTACACTCATTTAGGTATAATAGATGTAGTTATATACACCAACTCCCCATGAGAGCAAGATTGTCAAGTCTTTATCCCTCCTAAAATGAGCTGTTTACATCTGAAACAGTTCTTTTATAACAAGTGTGCATACAGCTTTGAATGTTCCATACTCCCCTTTTGCTATTTCTGCCATCTGCTGTTTCCCTTATAGGTTCTATATTAAGGAAGATATTTGAAATCCTGTGACCAGATTGTTTTATGTAATTGATTATCAGTGGCATTACTTACTAATATTTTGATCCTCTATTGCTGATTTTCTTGTTATAAGTGGACATCTTTACTTAAGGAATGATTTTAACACAACACTTTAAAGAAGTATCATCCAGTATCATGCTTAATGAATTAAAAGTATATATATTTCATATTTTTCCAATGAGTATTGCAGTATGTGATTATTTCAACATCAAATTCATAGTATCTGTGGAGCCCTCAATTTGACAAGTCTTTGTGTTCCCTATTTACTCTAGAGAACAGATAGACGCATCAATTGAACTTTCATGGAAATCCAACCAGTATGTCTTCCCTTGATGTGATCAGAATTAGAGATCCATTTTGAAGCCTATTGCCTCCTGAGTGAGCATGCTCCCATGCGTCTAATGTCCCTGACTACTTCAGAGGTGGTGAATACGAGGCATATTTCATTCTCCCAATTGGAAGCCTTAAGAAATGTCAATTTGTTACGGTCGGCATTGTTACAAAACTCATCCTTCCACCACATGCATGGTGCTCCTAATTGGAGGAAAGAAATCTCTCAAGCCAGGGAGTCTTGTCCTCAGCATCTGCTTCATTAGTGTTTCCAGTTCATGGTCCTGCATAGTTGTGAAAGAGTTAGTTGTGTAATTAAGTGAATAGCCTGCCCTAAGACTGTTACACAAATAGAACATGGCTAGTGGGAGGTACCCTACCATTATCTCTGGTTTACTTTGTACAGGACTTTCTGTAATGCTGAAAATGGTTTTGATAGTTACAGAAATACACTAGCTGGCTAATGGATGTTTTAGTGAAGTTTAGGAGTATGGCTCCCTGACAGAGTAACTGCCTTTTCCCTTTTGGGTAAATCATCTTCATCCTATAGGTCAGAGAAAGAACAAAACCTAAAGGCTCTCCTGAGGCCTTCAAGCAGGGATTTCAAGATGTGCAGAGCAGGATCCCATTTTTCTACAGACACATAATGTACCTGGCTCCAATTCAGTTACTTTTGTGGTCTGGCTTCCCAGCCATTAAAGAGCTGTGTATGAGCCTTCCTATTGCTCAAAATAAAAAAGAAAAGAAAAAAGAAAAATATCTAATGACCTATAGTACAACTAATTTTCTTTTCCTGAATATATCTTCTTGTCTATAGATGTTTCTTTGTATTTATCATGGATATATGAATAGTGCATTGTAGAAGACATAGGGTTGAATTACTGTTCAATCTTCAGGTCACAGATTCTTCCCTGTCTTTGTGTGTTCTATGGTCATACAATCTGCAACAAAATGAGCTCTAAAGAAACACATAGAACAATGTGGATTGTTATGAACTGAGCTGATACTTTCCCTTTTCTCATTTGAATAATTCACAAAAATACTCTAAATGCATTTGGAATGCAGAAACTTATTTGTGAGGGCAGGGAGGTTTTATTTTAACTGGGAATTTCACCTTTTCTGCTGCTTAACTCTGTTCCTCATCACTATCGTTCCTGCCATTTAGTATGTAAAATATAATGCTACACATAAAATGAAGTACACTCTTAAAGATAAAAGAAAAGGAAGTAAAATGAATGTGCATTCTCAAGGCAGTTAAGGGTCTTAAACATTAAATGTTGTTAATGACTAAAGGTAGAGAAAAGGCCTCTGCCTATGATAATGCTCAGTGTCCAGAATGGACAGAGAATAGGAGTAACTGTCTGAATGACTTTGCAAACATCAGGCCCAGATGCGTGTAGCCAGAGAAGGAGCAGGTAAAGGACCTCTAGCTCCTTACATGGGAAACAGTGGTCACGTGATATTGTAAAGCAGTCATGAATGAATACAGTGAGTCATATCCACTGCGTAGAAATGACAATTCAGTGATTGTAGGTCCTGGTCTTTATAAATCACAAATGTTGTTTTGTTGCTTTGTGGTGTCTCTTCTATTTCATAGGACGAAGACTGTGATAATGAAACTAAAAGTAAGGCACTGTCACCAACATTACTGCCAGGTAGCCATAAAAGTGTCCTATGAACTGACTTTCAGGACTTCTGGGTCTATGGCTGTGTCATAATGGACAGTTCTTCTATTATATAGAGCTATACTAAGAAAAGAATTGCAGAAACTGATACTCAAAACAACCCACTATGCACAGGGCACTGGGCTAACACTTCCCTGCTTCTCCAGAGAAACATGTTCCCTGTGAGAATTATCAGTGCATCCCAACTTATTTCTGTGACTGGCAGAAACATCAGGAATTTACTGAATTCCGGAGCCGAATAAGCACAGACTCCATAAAAATTCAATGTATTGGAAACACAACTCCAGCCCTATGACTTCTTGTTAGACAGGCCTAACACTGTAGTACTCAATCAGTAAGGACATTGCATAGCCATGATGGTTCCATTTCAGTCTGTGACTGCTGCTACTCTGGCTTCCAAGTAAGGAGACAATATTATGAACAGACTCAGCTGTGTGTCTAGTATTTCATAAAAGTTCTGTTTTAATATGATAAATGGTATATATTTGATATGTATTTCTAATCTCAGGCATGGGATGTGACATCAAGATGACCAAGTATCTATCTACCCATTCTGTGTCTGTGGGAAATGAAGTCAACATCTACTGCACAGCCAGTCAGCATTAGCTGTTATCCGGTAACAGCAAAAACTTGGAGAAGTTTCTAAACTCCTGATGTATGTGACAAACAGATTACAATCTGGTTCGGGAGCTGTAGGTCTGAAACAAATTTCATTTATACCATTAGCACCCTGAGACCTGAATATGTAGTCACTTTTTACTGTCAACAATATAACATGATAGAAATCATTACATAAACACCTTGATACTCAGAAATGTGAGATATTGTTTTGTTTTCCCACAGATGTTATTTGTAGGTGGTTCCTACAACTGCTGACAGGATGTTTCTGATGCCTCTAGGCTGTGAAAGCCTTGAATGATTTTGGTATTGAGGCCCAGGAGACTGCTGTCTGCCATAGGTTTATCTCTTATGCCCCAGAAGCACTGACATAGCTTAATCATTCCAGATTTCATAAACTATGCAGTTTATTGTACCTAAAGTATCTAAGCGATAGCTCCAGCTCTAATTATAGAACAAAGAAGTATCATTATATATGTCCCAAACAATGATTGCTTTAAAAGGGATAATTAGAGTCTACAGTAGAGTTATTGATTAGTTTTGGAGATGTTGGAATTAGTCATAAGGAAGGTTGATACTTAAGGCAGAGAATAATCTGATGTTCATTTTGAAACCAAATCTCTGTTGGCCATCAAGGATGGGCGGTCTAAACATGTGATTCCAAGACCTTTTTAGACAGCCCAGTGTTATTGGACTGGTGCTCCCTGATGCATGGAACTTTATTTTACTTTTTATGTAGTCCTCACTTTTCCATGCTCATCTCAGTATGTGGTAGTGTATTTTTCAACCTTACCTTATAGGTCTTATAGCTAAATTCCTGTGTAAATAATTATATTAATAGCCACAGAAGATAAAATTGTTGTTTGTTAAATTGAGTTTAAGAGTCATACATTGTATTTTGACAGGGATATTATTAGAAATAGAAAATAAAGTTCTGAGGGGATCATTGAATATGTTTGAGAGCATGCTCTACAAGAAAGGGGACTTGAATTAGAATTCCTAAGACCCACACATAGGCCTACGTCATTGCTGATGTGTGTCTAAACTACATGCAGTTTGTTGGCTGTACATTGCCATGCTTCCGGATCAGTGAGAAACCCTGTGTCAAGAGAATAAGGTAGAAAGTGATAGATCAGGAAATCTCAAATTCACCTATTGTCTCTGTGCATGGGATAATGAATAGACACTCATATACACACATTCACATACACAATTCAATAAAAGGAAACAAATAATACTATAGCATCTAGATAAGTAATTTACAG